AGGATTACAGGCGTGAGCCACCGCGCCTGCCCTTTTATTGAGAATTTTTAAGCGATTTAACTAACAAAATTAAGTATGTACAGCCTTTTATTTTTAATGTACACATTTAAAAAGATGTTATAGAAAGATTATAGAAAGATGCATAATGTGAGAAATAATTCCCATAATGTATCAATTTCTGGGCTAAAAATTCTTTGGATAAAATCCAATATCCATTTTATATCAGTGTACTTCTATGACTATATGTTCTTTACTGAGAGGCCCTAGAAAGAAACTTTGAAGTGGGAAGACTCATTTTTCTTAAAATGTGAGCTCTTTCTGTGTTTACCAGTTTTACATAAACCAAATGAAAATATCAAGGTTTTAAAATTTTTTTAGTTACACACATTGTCTTTTACTACAGTGAAGGCATTAAGAAAATATTTGTAATGGAGTAAACAAAGACTTGCCCTTCTATCTATCAAAATGCGCTATTAATTTACACAAATTAACCATTTACCAACAGCCGAAAAGACAGGTAAATGAATGGAACAGAATAGAAAATCCAGAGACACCCAAATATAGGTAAGAATTTAGAACTTGATAATGGTGACATTTCAGATTACTGGAATTTTTCATAAGTCAATGCCTGTTAACTGTTTGGAGAAAACTAACTAGATTTTTACCTTACAAAAATAAGTTCCTGATGGAATATAGATTAAAAATTTTAAGTATACAAGGTGAGAAAAGTACCAGAAGAAAACAAAAATGCCTATTCATACAGATACATTTTTGTGTTGACAGAGACCTTCCTGAGAATGACCTCACAAGCAAGCATTCTGAAAGTTGATTTAGCAAAATAAAAATTAAAAACCCCCATATATCAGAAAAAAATTAACAAAAGACAACATACTTGCAAAATATTTACAACATATATAATCAGATGAAAAACTTATATAACAGATAATTCTTTCAAGTCAACAAAACAAAAACTGAAATTGACTTTAGAATTGGGCAAATTACCTTTTTGCAGATCTACCAGTTATGCACATAGGAAAAAATATTTAGTGATCTTGGTAAGAGAAGGAATTTAGATTAAAAGAGGGATGAAATACAGTTTTCTATCCATGAAGTTTGGAATGTTGAAGAGCCGTGGTATTTTGTTGCCTAAGGTTTAAGTTGCTTAT